GCTGTGTGAATTGTTATCTTTTAATGAGGATTTGTCAAATTGTAGTGCTCATTCCCAGTGAGGGCTGGGGAGGGTGACTATATGATTTCTATGTGAATCTACAGCCCTTTCTCCAAAGGGTTCAGGGAGTACCCTCTTTTATATTTCTCTATTTGTATAGAATCATCTGTCATCAATGGGCCATGCCCTTCCACTAGAAGCTATACTGGGTGTTGTACACATTTAATTGTCCTTAAAATGCCAACACACCAGTAAAAACCAGTTCTGTTTCAAACTTAAACAGTGGCAGTTATCGACGAGGCCATAAGCTGGCTCTTATTCAAACATACACTTAGAGGAAGAGGGAAAGTGTCTTACTTTGCCCAAGGGCAGAATGAACTTCAACTTCCAGTTCTAGAAATCTGGAGGACACCTGGAGCCAGGCATGGGGTGTGTGGGGGAGTGGGTGAGTCTTTGGTGCCCAAGAGGGAAATGCTTTCCTCAATTAAAGGGCCAGAGGGAACTTTGGGGGTTTCAGAACCAGGAAGAATTGAAAGGAAGAAAAGGCATGCCTGTAATCCCAGCACTTTGGGAGGCCGAGGAGGGTGGATCACGAGGTCAGGAGTTTGAGAACATCCTGGCCAACAGGGTGAAACCCCATCCCTACTAAAAATACAAAAATTAGCCAGGTATGGTGGCAAGTACCTGTAATTCCAGCTACTTGGGAGGCTGAGGCAGGAGAATCACATGAACCTAGGAGGCGGAGGTTGCAGTGAGCTGAGACTCATGCCATTCCACTTCAGCTTGGGCAATACAGCCAGACTCCATCTCAGAAAAAAAAAAAAAAAAAAAGGCAGCAAAACTTGTATTGGGCATCCTATAATAAGCCAGACACTGTCATCTTACGAATCTCATTTCATTCCTATCCTATTAAATGATAGAATGTGTTTGGTAGGAAAGTCCATCCCAGACAAAGTTTAGGAACTCACTCAAAGATCAGAACCAAGAAGATGAATATCTAGCCTTATGTATGTTTCAGTAAAATCCTGAAAGTGCCATGACTACTTTTTCAGCATTTCTTATAACCAATTAACTTTATTTCCATATATTTTAGTTACTCTCAACGTTGGCCACATATTAGTATCCCCTTGGATGCTTTGAAAACATGCTAATATCTGTGCTCCATTCCATCCCAATCAAATAACTCCTTGGAGGGGTAGACAAAGAGGCAAATGTTACAAAGAAAATCTCCCTGAGTTATTTTAATATGTACTTGAGAACTGCTGAACTCACTTGCAGAAAATCCTTTATAAAACGAAAAGGGATTTGTGCACTTTTTGCAAAGATTGCATGTAAGAGAAGCTAGGAAATGGAAACACATTGCTGAATCTGGTTGAAGAAAGAGATGAGATTTGATTTGGTAAGTCTAGTAGACCTACTCAAAACTGCCTGGGAAGATCCAGGGAACACCAGAATACTAGAAAAAATTTGCTTCTGTTCCTCTCCCAGAGCTTTGACCTGTAAAAAAGCACTGGTTACCACAGGCCACTGCAGACATACCATATCATTTGAATAGTGGCTGTCCAATTCTACCCATAAGTTTTAGGTCAGCAATTCTCTGAGCCATGGGCTACTTGTCACTCACTGTATTACAGAAATATAAGAAATCAGGAATGTCTAATTGGCAACTCAGAGTGTGGATTTTAAAGAAACAATTCGCCGGGCGTGGTGGCTCACGCCTGTAATCCCAGCACTTTGGGAGGCCAAGGCGTGTGGATCATCTAAGGTCAGGAGTTGAAGACCAGGCTGGCTAACATGGCGAAACCCTATCTCTACCAAAAATACAAAAAAAGAAAAAAATTAGCCAAGCATGGTGGCAGGCACCTGTAATGCCAACTACTCAGGAGGCTGAGGCAGGAGAATTGCTTGAACCCGGGATATGGAGGTTGCAGTGAGCTGAGATCACCTTACTGCACTCCAGCCTGGGTGACAGAGTGAGACTCCATCTNAAAAAAAAAAAAAAAAAAAAAAAAAAAAGAAACAATTCCATAAAGATAACTCTTGGAAAAACATCAAAAATTACAGTAATGTAATTTCAGATGACTGTAAAGACCAATAATTTATCTTGCTGTTTATGAAGATGAAGAAATAAAGGCTCATACAGAGTCATACAGAAATGAAAATAGTCCAAAATCAAATCTAACTGCTCACAGAAAGCTGAAAACATAGCAGACCCTCAATATACTTTTAATTATTGATAAACTGATTGAGACTTATTTTGAGATTTGATCAGTTTTTATAAAAGTTTACATGTTTTTGTATTTTTTTTTCATATGTACACGACTTTCACTGTGGAATAAGTATATAACTGCTTTAACAGTTAAAAAAGTGGTTTAGGTTTTTGATGCTGATGACAAAACATGACAGGAAAAATATCCTATTTAATAAAGAAAACATATGAAGGTAATTTTCATTATCTGTAGAACTTAAATGAGGATTAATCTTTAACTTAGAAAAAGTGCAAAGTGTCTTCTCCTGTCTTTCTGGTATCAATAGGGCTGGCAGCATTGCACAGCTCCAGGGGGCGCCTTACACATAGTGATCTCTGTGCTTGCCCCCTGCTCATCCAGAGTTGTACAGGTGCCATGCTATGCCATTTTACTTGACAGCCCTGGGCAGCAGGGCCCCTAAGCAACATTCTTAATGGAAGGGCAAGGAACACATCCATTAAAGTGCAAGGTATTTGTTTCATGGTAATCACTACTACAAATAAAAGACAAATTGAAAATTTTAGTACCCAACAAATACACATTTAGCTTTTCTCTTTGAGTGCTGGCAGAGAACGCTGCAGCAGAGCATTCCTGAACACACGTGTTGGTGCCACCATCTTCATGTCTATGACTTGCCCGTGGCCAGCCCGTCAGCAGTCCTCCCCACATTCCTCTCTACGACACATCCTAGATCATGGAGAGGGAAATGTTTTCCTGGGAGAGTACTGGCTCAAAGGGAGGGAAAAAGTAACTGAGGGATCCACAAGTAATAGGCCACCTGATTTTTTTTAGTGCATTATAAAACATTTTTGGACAGGTGCACTGGCTCATGCCTATAATCCCAGCACTTTGGGGGGGCTGAGGTGGGCGGATCACCTGAGATAAGGAACTCCAGACCAGCCTGGCCAACATGGTGAAACCTTGTCTCTACTAAAAAAAATTTTTAAAAATACAAAATTAGCCTGGCATGGTGGCAGGCTCCTGTAATCCCAGCTCCTCTCGAGGGTGAGGCAGAAGAATCACTTGAATCTAGGAAGCAGAGGTTGCAGTGAGCCAAGATTGGGCCACTACACTCCAGCCTGGGCAAAAAGAGTGAAACTCCACCTGGAAAAAATATTATTGTCTACTTTTGAAATTAAGGGAAAAACATGTATGTTTTATCTTCCAGACCATTCCAATTAAAAGTGGAAATTCCAGGAGTCAGGAGAAAGGGAACAAAAAGAGAAGGTGGTAGAGGAGAGGGGAGACCAAGTGAAGAGGATGGACAAGAAACTATAGAAATAAGAGAAGAGATCATGGCAAATAGAGGATAGAGGCATGAGACAAGAGAGATGGAAAGGGGCAGATGAGAGAAGAGGGAAGAGTCTGGGTTCTGCGTGGATTGCGCTATTTGGGTACGGTGTGCATTCCTTTGGGCTGTTAACATTCTTTCAAGGTAAGAGCTCCAAGGAGTTTTCTAACTTAATCTCCGAAGTAGCATACTATCATCACTTCCGCCAGGTTCTGTTGGTCAAGCAGACCAGCCCTTACAAAGTGTGCGGGAGCTACTCCAGGGTATATGAATACCAGGAGGATGGGATCCCTGGGAATGACTTGCAGCTTAGGTAGCATGGTGGGCAGAGCCCCTAGCCTTGGGTGAGATGGGGGGAACTCAGAAGTACAGTATCATAATGTGGTATGAACTGATCTGAGTGAATGTGTTTGAACACTCACCACATGCCAAGAGTTGTTCTCATCTCTTTGCATGCAGTATCTCATTTAACCCTCTTAACAATGTTAGGGGGCAGGCACTCTTTATCCAGAGGAGGAAACTGAGGTACAGAGATTAGTAGCACAGTGACAGAGCTGTTATAACAAAGGACTGGTCAGGAGCTAAGGGGAGACTGGGTGTGAGGAAGGTAACTGACTGTCACAGTGTCCTATGGGATTTTTCCTAAATGATAAACCACCTCTATAGTTCTTCAACCCACCCATCCATGCAGGGCTAGGATTCATTTGGATCTGGCCATAGCAGCTTTCCAGGGGCCAATCCCACTTCAGCCTAAAGCACCCCATAGGTTATCATTTAATCTGCAGCGGGACTAAGCCTTAGACCAGAAATTCCTCCCTGACAGGCTCCCTGGAATGGTTCCTACATAGCTGGGTCTCCTTTCCTGACAATGCCGCCTGCCCTGATGCTTGATGTAACTCAGCCATATCTCCTGCAGTTGGGAGAGGCGGGGAATGACATTTTGTGTTTGAACCTAGCCGGTCAGGCTCCTGAAGAGGTCAGGTAGGCTGTGGAAAGGACAGCTGGTGATTACCGTTTATTACATGACACTAAGTCCCCAACACACGAAATCTGGGCTTCCCCAAAGCAGACAGTTTTCTTCCACCTGTTCCTCAAGGATGGAAAATGCCCTCCAGTGGAAATGGCTTTCCACTCTGCTTCTGCTGAATTTTCCTCCAAGATTTCCTGTAACTGTGGACTGCCAGCTCCTCCCTGATGTCTTCAGGCACCACCCCAACCTGTTCTTGCTGCAATCCACAAAGCTCCTATCAACATCTTGACTTTCCCTCCAGTTTTTTTCCATTTTCTCCCCCGTCTATGTTTACTGCCGTATCCTTCTTTCCAGCCTTTCTCCTTCATCTTGCCCTACAAAGCCACACCTGAACCACAAGTGCCAGAGAGTTTGATCATTTACCTAATGTCAACAAAAGAAAAAAAAAGTAAGCTCTAGAGCCGGCTTGGCCTGAAGCACCCAAGCAGAGTTAACAAGTGGGGCCAGGGCACCCTCCTAACCTCCACCTTGCAAGGAACTCGGAACTCAGAACTCTGAAACGGGGAAACGGCCAGGCCTGCTGATTTAATCTAAGTCCCGAAGTCTCCAAGAGATCAGACTGCAGATCCCAGTCCCCTGAAGTAAGAGAGGAGAGGACCACAGCAGTTGGAGGACAGCGCGAGGGCCAGGCGGCCCAAGATGCGCAGGCCACGCAGTCTCACGGACAAGTGACCCTGGAGAGCCTCCAAGCGCCCGGGTGGGGCCGCCATCGCGCCCCGTCAGTCACCCTAGCATGTGGGCGCGGCAGGGCGGCGCGGGCGGGCCGGCTGCGGGAGCTGTTTGGCGTCGCGGCCTGAGTGTTTGCCCAGCCCGCCTGCGCCGCTCGGGGCGCCTCTGCCTTTCCCTCCCTCCCTCCCCCGACGGCTTCTGGCAGTCAAGTGGATGTGGCGGGCGACCGGGCCACCTTGCCTAGGCGCGCCCAGCACTGGTAGGTGCTGGGGGTGGGGAGAGGCTTTGGGGAGAGGGTGCATGGGTTTGGAGTTGGGGGAAGGGAATTTCCTCCGGGCTTGCAGGGGTACCTGGGAGGCGCAGGGCCCAGAGCGAGCGGGCGGAAGACTCACCCCGCCTCCACCCCTCCACGGCGCGCGGGGCGGGCTCAGGTGCGGGGCTGAGCGCCTAGCGCGGCCGCGGCGGGTGTCCGGTGTCCGGTGTCTGGAGCCGCTGGCTGGGTGAGTGGTGGTACCCGGGGCCCCGGGACTTGCAGCGGGTAGCGGGGTGAGCTCCTAGGGGGAGGGTCTGCCGCGGCTGAGGAGACTTGGGGAAGTTCTGGGATCAGGCGAGGACTCGCGGCGCGTGCTACCACCCGAGTGGAGTGCAGGCCCCGAGAGGATCCGGGCTGGCCTGGAGTTTCTAGACTCCTAGCAGGAGCACAGCTCCGTCCTGCGCCCGGAGATTTTTCAAAAGGGAAGTCCCGGGAAACGGTGGCAGCCGGCACAGCACCCCTGCAGCGCGTTCCCTGCGTGCCGGCACCCAGGGGCGCCCCCACGTGGGGTCCGGGCGCGCTCGGAGGCACGTGCAGCGCCGCCTCCCTGGGGCTCAGACCCAGACCTGGTGCCCAGTGGGCTCAACCAAGGGCGTCTCTGCCCACTGCTGGACTCGGGGGTCACGCGGGCCCCGGGAGAAGCCACAGTTTGTAAATTTTCTGAGTTGTCTCTAAGCTTCACAGGAAGCTTAGAGAAGCAGCAAGCATGGAACCTCCCCCTTTCAGACAGATGCTCCTCATTGCCGAAAAAGGCTTTTGTTTGATTGCTGTTTTAATAGTAACAACGACTTGGGTGCCATTATTTTTAGATTGTGAATAGATAACTGTAAAGTATTCAGGGGCATAGATTTGGCATGAGTGGAATTTTCTAGGTATACTAAATCTGTGTGTACTTGAGTAAACTCAAGTTTCTGAAGAATAGTATATATTTGCAAAACTTGCCAAATTGCTGTCATCTCTGGTAATTTGTTTCATGGTTAAAAACAGCCCTTTTGGTGGTAGATGAATAAGATAAAGTTTGAATAAGAAAATAAAGTTGGACCACAGAGCTGGCTGTTTTAAAGGAATTATAATTCAAACTATTGTTAATGTTATAGTTACATTGTCGGTACTACAATACTTTTAGTTATTTTTTATTTTATTAGGCCGTTGCAAAAGTAATTGCGTTTTTTCATTGTTGTTGTTTTGTTTTTGTTTGTTGTTTGTTTTTGAGACGGAGTCTTGCCCTTTTTAGCCCAGTCTGGAATGCGATGGCGTGATCTTGACTCACTGCAGCCTCCGCCCCCGGGGTCCAGGTTCAAGCAATTCTCCTGCCTCAGCCTCCCAAGTAGCTGTGATTACAGGCAGGTGCCACCACGCCTGGCTAATTTTTGGATGTTTAGTAGAGATGGGGCCAGCTGGTCTTGAATTCCAGACTTTGTGATCTGCCTGCCTCGGCCTCCCAAAGTGCTGGGATTACAGGCGTGAGCCACTGTGCCTGGCTGTAAATTGCAGTTTTTTATGGCAAAAAACAGAGTTACTTTTTTGGCCATAAAAACCGCAATACTTTTGCAGAGACCTAATATTTTTAATTTTTGAGACAGGGTCTCGTTCTGTCACCTAGGTTGCAGTGCAGTGTATGATCTCGGCTCACTGAAGCCTCAAACTCTGCAGCTCAAGCAATCCTCCCACTTCAGTCTCCCAAGTAGCTGGGACTATAGGTGCGGGCCACCACACCTGGCTACTTTTTATATTTTGTGTAGAGACAGGGTTTTGCCATGTTACCCAAGCTGGTCTCAAACTCCTACGCTCAAGCAATCCACCCACTTCCACCTCCCAAAGTGTTGGGATTACAGGTGGAGCCACTGTGCCTGGCCTACTCTTTTTATGATTTAGGCTGTATCTTAGGCCTTTTAAAATTTTTATTTTGTTGAGGCGTCAGAGTTATCCAAAAGACAGTTGTATTGTAGAACAGTGTGAAGGTGGCATCAGGCCAAATCTATGGTATCATAGAAAACAGCTGATTCTCTCACCCTTGAGCAATTGGTGTTCAGAATAAATAGCAGGTGTGGGCTTGTTGCTTATCTTTCTCTTAAGAATGGTTTTTTGTTAGCTGAGCTTTTCCTTTATTGGATCTTGAATAACTGGAGGTTTGCTGCACTTGATATATTATGGGGAAGTCCTTTGAATCTAAATCAGTATCAGCAATGATTATTTGCCCTTTTCAGAGAGTGAAAATGGGAAAACCTGGTTAGTTAATTTCCTCATTTCTATTTCTTCTACCCTGGCTCTACCAGGCTCTTTCACTTCACAGTGGATTATGTCACATAAACCACATATTATGAGGAGTCACAGACTGAACTGGCCCTCATTTCACAGATGAGGAAACTGAGTCCCAAGAAGGTGAGGTGACAGCCTAGAGTCGTGCTGCTGATTAGAGGCAGAGCTGGGAATTGAGGCTGAATTTTCTCTGAGTGTCTTGGATACACTGTGCTGAGCTTGAGTTAGGGTCTGAGAAAGGCTTGGGGTGGGGATTAGGGGATGGAAATTAGGGGGTGAGGGGGAGAGGTAATTTACACCAGCACCATTCAGCAGCCGCAGAATAGCCACATCGTCAGCAGCCTGATCACAAAGAGTTGTCGGCTGGGTCCCCCAAGTATTCTTGGAGGCTCAAGGAAGCCAGTGTCTTTCCTTCAAGATGAACTATTTAACTTGAATGTTAGAAAACCACATTTGCTATAAAAGGCAAAACAAAACAACATAAAATGGAAATAATATGAGCATTTCATCACAGAGTTGCCGTGAACCTCCTTGCACGTGTACTGTGCTGTTTGCGCTGTTCTTAGTGTTTGTTTGGAAGGGGAAATTGTGGAGACGAAGTGGATGACTAAGTGCAAAAGGAAGTGGAGAGGACTAAGTGTCTGGCGGATAAATGGGTAAACAGTGTCCACACCTGGGCTACTGTGGCATTCAGTTCCTTGCTGTCCTTCCTGGCTGGGGTGTGTTCAATGCCTGGCTTCCCCTAAGCTTAGCTGCAATTGACCAGGAGGAGGCTTCTGCCCTGTGTCTAGTACCATCAGTTCAGCATTTCTGTGGCTGCAGGAATTTGCTGTCTTTCATTCTGAAATTTCATACATGGCACCACATCCTGCTGTTCTGACTCTGGGCACACAAATAAACTCACAAAAAAAGGCCTCTGTGTTGTGGATTATAGTGAAACTGACTTATAGCTGAACTGCCCAGCTCTGACACTTACCAGTTGCTGACCTGTGCTCTATCTTCCTAATCTGTAAAATGGGCATAGTAATGGACTGGACTCAAAGGGTCATTGTGAGGATGAAGTGGCTCATGTGTGTAATCCCAGCACTTTGGGAGGCTGATGCAGGCGGATCACCTGAGGTCAGGAGTTCAAGACCAACTTGACAAACATGGAGAAACCCCCATCTTTACTAAAAATACAAAATTAGTCGGGCATGGTGGTGTATGCCTGTAGTCATAGCTACTTGGGAGGCTGAGGCAGGAAAATTGCTTGAACCCGGGAGGCAGAGGTTGCGGTGAGCCAAGATAGTGTGATTGCACTCCAGCCTGAGCAGCAACTAGAGTGAAACTCCATCTCAAAAAAAAAAAAAAGAACAAAGATGGTGCCTGGTACAAGAATTGTTAGCTGTGTTATCAGGAATATGCAGGGGGTGGGGGAGAGAGGAAGAATGTGACTTTGGCATGTTAAGAGTTTTAGATTTTAGGTTCTGCCCACACCTTGAATTCACTGTAATCAAAATGGGAAACAGAGCAGAAGTCTCAAACCTTACTGAACTGTTCATTTTCTGCCGTGCTTGATTTCTGCAAAAGTCAACCATTGCAACATAGGGATATTTACTGGAATGTCAAGGAGTCATTCTCCTTGGTTTCTTACCACTTTATCTCAGAGCCTGTGGATTTTTTGGCTCCACCCTTTGAGAAGCTGCTAGAAACAAAAAGGCAAGTAATCATTACAAGACATTCATTTTTTTGGCCATTCAAGCCTTTGAGGGTATCTTAATGCAAAATACAAAGTTGACAAGGGGACCTGGGAGGGGTGTGACATTACTTTTAATCCGCTAACATTTTTTCTCTTAATATTTAGTTCCATTTGGATTCTGGTAGTTGAATGTTGCCGAGATTATCGGTTGTAGTCGGTAGGGATAGTTGTAATTTCATGAAGGCTCTGACTTCACAATGAATAGTCAGCGAATCTAAGTGCTGTGTATCCACGCTGCTCTGGGATAGCCTGGCTATTGAGTGTGCTTGTCTCAAAAGACTGGTGTTAAGTCAAGAAACAACTTTGCAAGGAATAGGGGGAAGAGGGGAAGCTGAAGGAGGCTCCCAGGTGGTGAGAGGAACATTACACATCTAGCCGTATCAATGACAGGTAAAGGAAATAAGAGAAACCAACACTGCTATGGCCACAATGTGGCTAAGTGACTTGTCTGAAGTTTAAGAGTGTTTGAACATAATATGGGGAAACAAGATATTTGAGAGCACGTGGCAAAGTGGTAACATTATTGAGGTGTTATTATAAGTGCCAAATTATTGGTCAATTTCTTAGAACACAAGTGACTCCGAAAAAGTTGTAGTAAGTTTTTTTTTTTTTTTTTTTTTTTTTTTTTTTTTTAATCTTACTACATGAAATCCAAAGTCTTTTGTTTTCCAGAATGGAAATATTTACATAGTTTTCTCCTCATTACAAAAGTATGATGGTTTGCGAGACTTAGAAAGTATTTTTTAAAAAATGGGAGAGAGAAAGAAAAAAAAAAGTATGACAGTTTGGTAATAGTTTTAAGCCAACCAAATAGAAATGTGGAAAGCAGAATGAAAGCTCAGTAGGATTTCCATCCCCAGGAGAACCTCTGGGAAGCCACTGTGCATGCTCAATTTATAGCTTCTCTTTCAAGGAACCATATAGTAAACTCATATAATTCAAGGATCCTTTGTTATAAGCCTAATGACCTCTTCATGTCTGTCAATTTAGATTTTATTGAACTAGATTATCTGGAAAAAGCACACCTAAAACTTGGTGACCTTCCAGTGTGTAGATGAATGTTCTGTCTTGCACCTGCCCTGATTTTCATGGCCCTAGTAGGTTGTCTGGGAATTACATTATTCTTTTGTGAAGATGAAAGTACAAAATTGTGTTTATTTAGTGCTATGTTTTAAAGAAATTACAGAAGTTGCCTAATGGTCTAATTTTGATTTTTTCCTTTTTCTTCCTTGAGTATGGCTCTGTTTTGGTTTGGTTTGGGGTAAGTTACTCTGCGATATCTCAAAAATGGTATTTTCTTTTGAAATAGGTACTTTGCAAAGAGCCTTTTAATTTCTTCCTGTGACCTTTTCTTTTCTTTCTTTTTTCAGCCACACAGTTGGTGGTTTGTTAGGCTCTGGGATAATTGGGATAATAATATATTTGCTTAGTTGGGAGCGAGACAAACCTCTGTGAACTTTTTTATTTCCTTGAGATTGACCTGTATAAAGTTAGGGTTTGTTTTGTTTTCTTTTTTGATAAAGTATCTTTAGAAATTACAGGATAGAGGTTATACAAACTCTTAACAAAGCGTGCCTCAGGTTTTCTTCTTCTCTTTTCCCCCTGAAATGGAAAGTGATACCATATTTCCTTCAAGCTTTTCTTTTAAAACCTGTCCTAGCCAGTGTCCACACATTTTAACACACTGCCTGAATTAGGGCTCTTTCTCTTTGCAGGTTCATTGAACAGCATTTTGGACAGGACATTTGGTGCCAGGTCTCAGGAGCCAGTTTGCTGAATTATTGTCCCAGTCAGCCAGGATCGTGAGCCATTTGGGAAAGTTCGTGGACACGCCCAAGTGCCAGGACAGGTGGAGGCACACCTGGAGGCCAGTTTCAGGAACTTTTGCCACAGGTATAACAGCCTCCGGAACTGCAAAGATGCTGAAACAGATATTGTCGGAAATGTACATAGATCCTGATCTACTGGCAGAGCTCAGCGAAGAACAGAAACAGATCCTGTTCTTCAAGATGAGAGAGGAACAGATCCGACGATGGAAAGAAAGAGAAGCAGCAATGGAAAGAAAGGAGTCCCTGCCAGTGAAACACAGACCAAAGAAAGGTAAACTTAGCCACGTTTCTTCTGTGAATGTGTTGGTAGAATAGCTCCTGGCTTGCTTTGACAATTTCATACTAGTCACAAGCAAAGCAGGTGCAAGCCCCAGTTTGGCAGATGAATCCTAAATGTTATTGAGAATCTAATAGTGCAGTATATCCACTTGAAGTCTACACATACACATAGCATTCACCATGGAGTTGCATAGCTATAAGGAAATCTCTTACTTGAAACCAGACTGACCTGAAGCTGTAGTAAAAAGTCACCTATGGGGTTTGATTTGAGGGGTATTAAGAAAGGTTTCTATCTTTTTTTTTTTTGTTACTGATACCTAATACTCCACTACCAGAACACAAAGTTCTTGTATCAATATGTTTATAGCAATTGTGTTTGCATTTTTTAGACCTCAAGAGATTTTTCTTTGAGGTATCATTTTAGGGAACACCCCCTCTTAAAATGGAAGGAACTGCTATAAGGAAAAAAATCATAGTACTATTTTTTTTTTAGTGTGAATGAGTTTTTCATATGCTCATATGCAAGGTTACACCACCAATGCTCAGTTCTATTGGATTATTTTACCCTAGGTGAGAGAGCAAGACCCTGTCTCAAAAAGAAAAAAAAAAGACTTAAAGCATATACACATACATACAGAAAAACACACATTGCCTACCCTCCTTACTCCATTCTCACTACTCCCATGCCCTGGCCCTGCTGTTCAGATGTAATCCTTTCCTCATTACCAAAGGAATCTCTGGTAGTTTGAGAGGGCTCTTTTGAGGCCATGGGGAAGGAAATCTTTGTACATTAAGACTTAAAGTAGACCAGGTGTAGTGAGTGGCTCATGCCTGTCATTGCAGCAATATAGGAGGCGGAGGTGAGAGGATCACTTGAGTCCAGGAGTTCTGACCAGCCTGGGCAATATAGTGAGACCCTGTCTTTAGGAAAAATTAAAAATTAGCTGGGCGTGGTGGTGCGAGCCTATAGTCCCAACTAGTTAGGAGGCCGAGGTAGGATAATTGCTTGAGCTCAGGAGGTTGAGGCTGTGCTGAGCCGAAATCATGCCTCTGTGCTCCACCCTGGGTGGCAGAGATAGATCCTGTCTCAAAAAAAAAAAAACAAACTTAAAACATATACACATATAGATATAGAAAAACACACATTGTCTACCCCTCTCACTCCGTTCTCACTACACCTACAACTCCGCCCTGCTGTTCACATGCAAAATTTGTCATGGATGAATACATAAGTTGTGAAAACACAGCACAATTTTCAAGGTCACTTGCAGAGGCCTCCGAGACCAATCTCTTTCATGTTTCATTAAACCAGGAGAATAAAATTTCATAAAATCACATAGGGTTTCAAAGACTGAGAAAATGAATCTCATTTGCATGCCTGATATATGCCCAGGTTCAAAAAGGAAGTTGTGTAGTGTCCTTTACTTTTACTGACTTTTATTAAAACTTCTTTCCAATGATGTCTTTATCATGATAAGGAAATAAACATCAATAGATCATTTACTCTTGTTATGATTAATACAACTATTTATGAAGCACCTACCGTTTCAGACACTACATGAAGCACTTTTACATACATAATGCCTAACCTTCAGCAAACTTCTGCAAAGTCAGCGTTGACAGTCCTATTTTATAAATGATGAAACTTAGAGAAGTTCGGTTTTTGTTTGTTTGTTTGCTTTTTTGAGATCGAGTCTCACTGTGTTGCCCTGGGTGGAGTGTAGTGGTGCAATCTCGGCTCAGTGCAACCTCTGTCTCCTGGATTCAAGCAATTATCCTGCCTCAGGCTCCCGAGTAGCTGGGATTGCAGGCATATGCTGCCACACCCAGCTAATTTTGTATTTTTAGTAGAGACAGGGTTCCATCATGTTGGCCAGGCTGGTCTTGAACTCCAGACATCAAGTGATCCACCCACCTCAGCCTCCCAAAATGTTAAGATTACAGACCTGAGCCCCACACCTGGCCGTGAAACTTAGATACGTTGACTAATATACGCAAGTTACACCACCAGCTGATGCCCAGTTCTGTTGGATTTTGCATTATTCTGCACAATCCAAAATATCACTTTTCCTCCAACAAATAACATGGCCAAACTGAATCATAACGTTTGTCTTTCTGGACTGGTTTATGCATCTCCTTGGATTCTCTAGTCAGAGTTTTTCAGATATAATTTTGGGCCTCTTCTGGGCACCATGTTCATTGTGAACCTAACATACATGAGTGTAACAGGGTGACCTTGGGGACTGGCAGCCAAAGGGTTCCTGCCACTAGAGTCAATGGCCCAGATTCTGTTAGACTTTGAGTTTCTTGTGTTTGCTGAATTGGTCTCCTTGTGATGACTTAAGACAATAATTTCACTTTCTTTGCTTAAATTTTTTATTTGTAGAGTTTTGGATCTACGTCTCAGAAAACCTATATTAACTTTGTTAGTCAAATGATCATGAGAAAAGTATACGAGTATATATGGTGAAAGTTCTGTCAATATCTCACATCACATTGTATTACCCCCTTAAATTGAAAACTTGGAAAAATATATTTTGTATTAAGTTGGTTCCTCTTCTGACTACAGAAAAGGCAAAAGGTTCCTCCACTCCCACTAAAATCTCATAACTTCTCTTTCATCTTTGCTCTGTCTTTGAAGATACGGCCATAGACTGCCCAAAGCAATGTCATGGCTGGTGCTGCCAGTGGTGTTTATCTGTGCTGCAGACCTGCTAAGCCTGTGACCCTTGTGGGTTGAGAGGTCACTTGCGCATCTGCTCCCTGAAAGCCTGTGCTTCCTGCCTCCCCTGTCCTGCCTTTCTGGCTAGTCCTGGGCTAAGTGCTGCTTTTCCTTAGTAGTGCTTAGCCACATGGTGGCTTTGAAGGTTGTTCATTTTATTAAAAACATCATATTCCACCCCTGTCATTCCTTGACACCCTCTAGCTTATGACTTAGAAGTTCTTTCATTGTCATCTGGTCATGTTTCCCTATAAATACACAGACCCCTGTGCTGAGTGTTTAGGGAACATCACTAAAATGGTTGTGTGTTGTACATCATAGGAACTTGTTTACTTTTTTTTTTTTTTTTTTTTGAGACAGAGCCTCACTCTGTCATCCAGGCTGCAGTGCAGTGGTGCGATCTCAACTCACCGCAACCTCTGCCTCCCAGTTCCAGGTGATTCTCCTGCCTCAGCCTCCTGAGTGAGTAGCTGGGATTATAAGCACCTGCCATCATGGCCAGCTAATGTTTGTATTTTTAGTAGAGATGGCGTTTCACCATGTTGGCCAGCCTGGTCTCAAACTCCTGACCTCACGTGATCTACCTGCCTCCGCCTCCCAAAGTGCTGGGATTATAGGCATGTAAACTCTCAGATTTCAAAGACTTGGTAGAAGGAACAGAAAATGCCACATTAATAATTGTATACTCCTTATATGTTGAACTGATAATATTTTGTATATCTTGGGTAAAGTAAAATATTTACATTAATTTCACCTGTTCCTTTAGATTTTATTTTTATTTATTTATTTATTTGAGAGAGAATCTCTTGTTCTGTCACCTGGGTTGGAGTGCAGTGGTGTGATCTCAGCTCACTTCAACCTCTGCCTCCTGAATTCAAGTGATTCTCCTGCCTCAGCCTCCCGAGTAGCTGGGATTACAGGTGTGCACCACCACGCCCAGCTAATTTTTGTATTTTTCGTAAAGATGGGGTTTCACCATGTTGGCCAGGCTGGTCTCAAACTGCTGACCTCAGATGGGCCTCAGATGGCCCACCAGCCTCGGCCTCCCAAAGTGCTGGGATTATAGATGTGAGCCACCGCACCTGGCCTCCTTTTGAATTTTTTAACGTGGTTACTACAAAAGTGATATTTATTGACATGGCACACATTTCTACAGTGCTGGTCTAGACTATAATGGTAGCACCAGCCAGCATTCAATATGCTTAACTGGGTATCAGACCCTGAGTGATGAGCTTAAGCATATTATCTCATTAAATAATCACAGCCAAGCCTGAAGTGTGTGTTGCTATGCACATTTTACAGATGAGGAAAGTCATGCTCAGGGACATTCATTAACTTGGCCAAGGCAAACAGTAAGTGACAGCTGGAATAGATCCTGGATCTGATTCTCCCAAAGCCAGCACTGTTAACAAATAAACTAAACATAGAGCTTCACTGGAGCTTAATGTCAGTGACTTCTGTCTGAAGGTGCCTTGCATTCATATAAAACATGTGCTTGCATCAGGAATCTGCCATCGGGCCGCCTTCTTGGGTGATTTTATTGGGTAACACAAAGAGAAGACGCCTTGGCTTAGCAGAATTTGTTTCCCAGCATTCGTTTCATGGGATCTGTATCAAGCTGATGGAAATCTAATGCAATAGGCTGGGATCTCGTTCCTATGTGTGGTACCAGAGGGGCTCTGCCCTTGAAACAGACCTGGATTCATACAGCTTCGTTTGCTGCATTCTCATTGTTCCCAGGGGGCTGATCCTTAACGCAAAGCCTTCCTTCCTTTTTTGTGAAGTAATGTTAAGGCCATTGGTTTGTGCCATTGACAGTGTCTGCTTCCCTGCCTTTCCCTCTTGAACTCACTGCGTGGAATAGGGCCAGCAGCACAGGGTCATCAGCTGCTGGATTCAGTTCTTATCTTGATCAATTCTTCAGTTGCCTCTGACTGTAAATGCCTGTTGGCGTCTCTCTCAGAGTTGCCACTCACTCATGAGTCTCTTGCTCTCTCCCTGTTTCTTTTTCTTCTCTGCCTATTCCTTAAATATCTGTATTCCCCAAGGAGTGCCTCACACTGCTTTGGTGGTTTGTGATTTTGAAATGAGGCTGGGGGCTCATAGACTCCTTTGAAAATTTACTGAAATCTTGGAGCTAGGAAAACGCATTCAGACACCATTCTGTGTATAATCTCACAATGTTCACAGACTCCCCGAAGCTCATTCGAAGACTCCTAGGAGTTTACAGGGCTTAGGATAAGGTAGAAGTTCATATTATTTCCCTAGGG